CAGCATCGGTGATTTCAGTAAGACCTTGTAGCTGCTCTGCAAAAGCATCTTTGTTGGGGCTTTTTTCCACTTTTTTTCACATGCTCCGAGGCTTGCTTCCTGATCTGGTTGAGCTCGGTGACGCGCTTGAGACAATGTGCGCGATACTCTTTTGAAGCTGCTTGGTTTTGCGACACCGGCTCGTCATCGTAACGGATCTCTTTGAGCTTCTCGGCAAGCTTCGTATTGGCATCGTTGAGGCGACTCCTGATAGGTCAAGCTGAGATTTCCTAGCACTCGACTTTGCCTTATCAGATTTGGCTTAGCTACAGCTATAATGGGCTATAGTTTAGAGCCTATAGAAATTTATTCATAGTCTTCTATGGCATCTTACGCCTTAGGCCTCATGTCTCATGACTCATGCTGATGGGTACCACAACTAAAGATAGTACTACCCAATCCCAACCCCTCTTCATTGATTCTATAGCCTACAGCCTAAAGTCTTTAAAGATATTACACTTGCGGAAACACGGCAAAAGTTTAGCAAACATCATAAATGATTCAATACATTCGCCTGCCTCCTTTCCCGAAAGCCCTAACCCTCAAGCCTAAACCCGAAACTCCGAAAGCCTAATCCCCAAACATAATTGTCTGGGCCTGTCTAGAGATCAAACCCCGATACTTGCTGTTGAGGCTCCGTGTGCGGTTTCCACGCCCATCAAGCTGAAGAATGCCTACGGTGGAGCTTTTGTCGGGATCGCTTGAAGGAGCCGCACCCGCAACCAAAGGCGCAGAGAGTTTGGTCTTTCCTTTGGGCTGCGCAACCTTTGCCGACGGCGTCGGCTTGGCTGGCTTTCCACCCGTGCTCAAGCCTTCCTTTGCCTTGACTTTGGCAGCCGCAGGCGCAGGCGTCACCGTAGACTTGGTGTTGGCACCGCCTTTGTTGGACGCTGCCGCTGCTGCTTTTGCCTTCTTGGCTGCTGGGGCGAGCATCGCCAACCCGGCCGAAGGCCCTGTCTGGGCCTCCTCTTCTGAGCTGGAGTCACTGCTGCTGCCGTCGTCGTCGGCTTTCACTGGCAAAGTGGAACCGGTGCCTGTTGTTGCCGAAGGCTTGTCCTTGGAAGCCGAAGAAGAAGACGAGCCAATTTGCAATTGCTGCACCAGAGCCATCATGCTCTCGATGCTTGCCTCGGATCCCTTGACAGCGGAAGCATCTCTGGCTCGCGTCTGGGCCTGCATAGCAATATGCAGCGCCTCCGTTTTGCTTTCGAAAGCCTTCTCGCCAAAGGCTTCGTGGTCAAAGCCGTGCTCTTCGACCTGCTCAGAGAGCCCGACGTCCTCGTACTCAGTGAAGTCGAACACACCCTCTTTGCCTATGGAGCGCCACACTCCCTTGTACTTCTGTCCTGGCATTTGATGCATGTGTGTGTGTGTGCGTGTGTCTCACAGGATACGCTTGCTCTGTATCCAAAAACAAAAACATGCATACATCACCCCAACCAAAAAAACTAACTACGAAGCAAGCCGAGTGACCGCGGATCTCTTGCTCCACCTCTTTCGAGGGGTCCCATTTTCCATGGATATTCTCATCCCAAGCGCTGGTGCACACGAATTGCTTTTTTGGCAATTCGAAACGGCCTCCAGTGTCCTTCTTTACGGTGAGGCTCGTCTTCGCCTCGAGCAACTCGTCTTTGTTCCGCAGTCTCACTTTGTCAGGATTGTCATTGTGTTGGCGAATCCAATCTTTCACCGAATTGAGGAAACTTTTGTGTTCGTTCTGCCTGGACCTGTCGAATGCCCATTTGTAGTAGTTCGCGTAGCTACCATGCACTGCGTGCAGACCTTGACGGAAAACATCACAAAATCTAAGCCTAAGCTATCTAAATTATAGGTTCGTCTAAATTTTTGAATCTTAAACTACACATCCCGCTGTCATAGAATAGCGATTGTTTAGGTAAACACCCGGCCTAAAAGGCGAAAGACGTTGAGACAAGGCAGGCAGCAGCGACCTTCAGGGACACGGGCAGGCTCTTCGTTTGCAGGAGTGACTTTCCTGTACTTGGCCCAAGGCCGGTTCGGCATCTCTGACAAGGCGTCCTCGGTTGGACTGACTAAAGAGTTCTTGTCTGTGCTCAAGGACCCACAGAGACTGCACTTGCAAGCGTTGGCCAACGTGTAGCTTATGCGAAGAGTCAACTTGGAGTCGCGTCCAATCGTTGTTGGAGCTTGTGAAAGCGGCGGCGGCGGCGGCGCCGGGTATTCACCTTCGGAGCCAGAGCCTTCGGATTCTGCGGCTGCAGCGGCTTCGCCGGACTGCTGCTCTTCATCCGGAAGGTTGCGGTCTGACTCTACGGCTATGTCCATTGTCTTCAGTGGCCTCTGTTCCTGGACGGGCCACAAAAACACTAAAACTATGAACCTCTCAGAGCCAAATATAACCGATAGCAGGCGCAAACTTTGCCTTCATGCGTTGATCCTTAGAATCCACGCAATCCCTACCAGCACAATCCACAGCCCACACCTTTGTTTTAACACGCCACGCCCGCAGTGTCAAGTGCTGCAAGCAAGCTCGTGTCACACACACACACACACATACACAACGGCCAAAGGCCATTAATTAGTAGCGTCGTATCGGCACCCCATCTAGTTAAAAGCAGTTCTTTGGTGTAGATCCTGCACTCCAAGAAGTCCACCAAGTGATGCTCCCTTGGTGGTTCATGATTCGGCTTTGCTCCCTCCCGCTGTCTCTCCTTTACCTGTTGTCTTTGCCTAAACCTGGGAGCCTCAAAACCGAACCCGTCGACCTCAAACCTTCCCTCTCTGTCTCAATCTCCCTTGTTTTTCTCAAGGTCTCCCTCTAGTCAACTCTAGCCTCTCTTTCCCTGTCTGTTCGGTTGTCTCCTTTCGTCTCTGTCTGATTATACCATCAACTAAGGGGCTCGGCCTGGTCGCAATAGGATCGCACCCACATCCTGGAAAGGACCAACGCAAACTTAGGATTTGCGCCTTTGCACACAAGCTTGTTGACCAAAAAATCGATAGGATCCTGCAATTCCTCCATGGATGCAACTCGCCTTCAAGGCTGCGCCGAATCCAAACAGGAAGAACCCGCCTTAAAGGCTACGCCGATACTAAACAGGATGATTTGGAAATCTACCTGCCTAAAAGGCAAACCTAGCTGCCTCGAGCAAGTGCCGCCTTGAACCAAAATCGCTTCAGAAATGCAACGCCTGCTGTAGACACAATGTCTGGAAAACGAAGCTACACAACGTGACCCTCTCGCACTGTTATTCCGTGACCCTCAAACCCCAAGGCGGGACCCACCCCCACCCCCCCCACCCCACCCCCACCCCCCCCCACCCCACCCCCGCCCCCGCCCCCCGCCCCACCCCGCCCCCGCCCGAGGCCAGGGCCTACTGCCAAGAGAACGTTCCCTGGCCGGAACACTGCCAAGAAAAAGTTCTCTTGCCAGATGTCGGAGGCCAGTGCCAAGAGAACGTTCCCTTGCCAGACCTCGGGGAAGGCAGGGCCTACTGCCAAGAGAACGTTCCCTTGCCAGGAGGGGGGGGAGGATGGTGCAACACAGGCGGAAGAGGGGTGCTAATTTCACCACCCTGCCAACAATTGAACAAATTTCAAACAATTGTAAAACAATTGCCAAACAATTGCCAAACAATTGTCAAAACAATTGACCAACAAAAATCTCTACACTAACTATAATTTTCTCCGCGCTGCTTTTATATAAATTAATAAGGGAACCAAGAAAATCTCTACACTAACTATGATTTTCTCCGCGCAACTATTCTTGACAATTGTTTGGACAATTGTTTGGACAATTGTTTGGCAATTGTTTGGACAATTGTTTAACACTTGTTTTAAAATTTTTTGATTAGTTTAATTTACTTAATATTTATTTGTTTCTTTTGTTTTTTTCAAATACAAAACAATAGTTTGACTCATACATCGCACACTCCCTGTACAACAACATACCAGACAGATCGGAAAGGTAGCTGGATGACAGCAACACACACCTGCAGCGAGCTAACGCACGAAGCACTCGGCACGTCAATCTCTTTTTTGTGCACAGAGGAACGCTGTCGAGTCGACAGTCTGTAGCAAGCCAGGCAGGCCATGCTGGCAGCTTGGCCTGCCTGGCTTGCTACAGACAGTCATGGAGTCATGGATCGTCATCGCCTTCAGAGTCAGCCTGTAGCAAGCCAAGGAGGTCATGGCCGCTGGCACACGGTCTCCTTGGCTTGCTACAGGCTGTGTGTGGCCATCAAGATAGCGGTCACCGGCGGTCGCCGGTGGCTACCACTCCAAGACCGGGCTCCGGCCTTGCAGTGGTAGCCACTGGCGCCGACTGTGCCTGCACTGCAGTATGCAGCGCCTCCCTTTCGCATTCCAACTTGGAATGCCCGGTTTCTTATAAGTGTTTGTGATACTTAAGCGAAAATATAATGGCTTAGCAACATCATATAAGTCTGTGTTAAGTATATATTAACTGGGTATTAAGTCTGTGCTATGCATATATATCTGTTATATGTTTTGACATATCTCGGTAATATGATTAGTTTTTTGTGTAATCGACATAATCATGTTAACTTCCACATAAAAGTTATAAAAGTTAGGTAAAAAGTTATGCTATGTATACGACAATTTTTTGTTGTTTCCTAAACATAAAAAATACAGGGCATGGCAAGCAAGCATCTGTCTCCCTTATGTTTTTTCAGTGCAGGGGAGATTAATTATGGAAAAGTTAAGGTGTCTATATTTAAATTTCTTACTGGTGCATATTTGTTTCTGTGGCCAGGAGACGATGCGAGAGCCAATTTTGTGTGTGTGTTTTTTCTTGCTGCATACATGCTTGACATAAATCGGAAAATTTTTTGCCCTGCATCTACATGACATGTAACGAAAACCAAGAACATATCCGGATTCGCATGCATGGCTCTAGCTTCGCCAGTGTGGCCGTCCATCTCGCATTTCTTGATCAGTCGGCCATTTCACCATTGTGAGCCATGGTCACCATCTCGCACATGGTGACACTCCAATACAAGGAGGAGAAGGCCATCATCGTGCCCACCGAGCTGATCATTCAGCATGAGGAGCATCAGTACATCCAGCTGAGGCCCACGAACCATGCGTTCTGCCAGCTCGTTTGCGGTAGCAACATTCCGAAGAATGCATCCATATCAGCATGCACAAAGTTGCAGGAAATCATTCAGAAGCGAAACGAAGCCATGCAGTCGGATGAAGCATCGGAGCAAAAGGACGATCTCTTTCCATCCAGCGATGAGCCCCCATCGAAGAAGAAGAAAAGCATGAAGATTCTGCCACCCACCGTGAACATCAGGGTGGGCGAAGTGGCGGTCACATGCCTCGTCCATGGTCGCCGACCATCCGCACAGGACCTTTGCATTCGCTTGGATGCTACCCAGATCGGCGCCATCGTGGACTACATTCGGGAGGATGCCATCGAAGCCATGCAGCAGTCCAAGAGGAAGTACGTGGAGAAGGTCAGGAAGTGATCGCATAGTTTCCATGACATGGACTTCATGCCGGCCTCTGAGGAAAGAAATGCAAACCGTGCCAATGCATGCCCATAATTTCATGTGCAACATGACATGCAAAGGCCAGTTTCGCATGCACCTAGATCCCCGCGATGTTGTTTCTCTTGCATATGCAGCATTGAATTTTGCCTTGTGGCCAAAAACAACGGGAAGCCCATCCATTGCCAACATGGCGGTGCCGCAAAGCATTGTCTTCGAAGTACAGACGATCATGGACGGGGAGATGCCATTAAACAGCAAGACCGAAGCCATTTTGGCATGCTTGGAGAATGCGGGGCTTGCATCGAAGCAGCGACTGCTGCCCCGGCATCTGCTCATCCATCCGGACAATCGTTCCCAGTCCATGCTCAGTTACCATGACGTCTGGTCGAAGGGGTTGGCCATGAGCATGGTTGGTTTCAACATCAAGCTGGTGGAAGGCACCACCATTGCATTCGCCATGAGCACAGAGCCAGAGAAGAGAGCCATGCAGCTGGCCAAGAACAAGGCATTGATCGACAATGCCATGGGGCATTTGGCGCCCATGAATGGTTCAGAAGGTAGGGCGTATATCCACCAAACCTCATGAAAGGGTAATATATAATATATAATCCTTTAACCCTACATACGGATGTAGAGTTAATCATATCTGCAACTTTATATTGTCTTTTCTTGCAGGCTACTTGACCATCGGGGGCAGCCATACAGTTGCATATCTTCGCTGCATCGAAAACGCTGTGACCGGGCCATCGGCGGAGTCAAGCACCCATCCGAAATCGCATGCTATCTGGCGAGCCATCTCCGATGGCTGGACATGGGTGACCATTTCCAGCGCTGTGGAGGATGCCATACCCATTTTGCCATCATTTCCCCAATCATCATTGAACTCTGCGAACAGCATCCAGAAGAACATCTCCGAGCTGGAGGTTGCCATGCTCTTGGCCACATGCTTTGGCAAGGGCATGACATTGGCACAGGCTGTGAAGCATGCGGAGCATACTTCACAGATGTCCCGGACAAGCATTACTGTTCAAGAACACCAGTTAGCATATGCGTTTTTTTGGGAGTGCAGTTAGCATATGATGCTGTTTGGAATCCCGGATGAAATTAGACAAAAAAAACAACTGCAGTTAGCATATAGAGGGGTCCAAAATATGCTATCTTCTCGTGTGGGGACACGAAAAGCACCAGCATACCGAGGCGAAATGCAGTTAGCATGTCAAGAAAACTGCAGTTAGCATATGCCATCCTCGATGCAAAGATGGGCATCCGAAAGGGCAAAAACTGCAGGGAATATCAGTAAAACCAGTGCAGTTAGCATATTCGTGCCTCCTAAAACCGACGAAATGACCTGATATGACACATATACTGTATGATAAGAATCGAGCTGCAGTAAACACTTACTGTACTTGGTTTAGGGTTCACTGTAGGGCTTACTGCACAGTACTGTTGGGGTTTCTGCTAGCTTTCTCCTCTTCGAACAGTGAACAGTGAAAGCACATGCCGGCTTTCTCTTCTTTGATCAGTACAATACTGCACAACACGGTTCTGTACTGTACCGCACTGTAGTGTACTCTACAATACAATACTGTACAGCACGCTCCCCATTTGCCCTCGCCCCTGTCACTCTCAAAGTCGTGTTCATGGCAGCCTGCAGCAGGAACCCATCCCACCCAGTGGCACAGCAATGAATGTGACAGGCAATTATGAGGCATGGAAACACGGAAGGAACCATTCGAAGGCGGCTGGCCCGGAATATATGCTATCTGCGGTTCTCTGCAGGGTTTGGACAACAGAAATTATACAAGAAGGGTTGCCATCCACTTTGCCCGTTGGGCTTCCTGTACAGTAAGAGAAGTCGTAACATTTGCTGTTTCGCCCAAGTAACCGCGCCTGACACAAAACATGGTTTCCACACAGACACACCGCGTCTGAAACTTTCTACCGAACCGTGGGCTTGCAAGCGACAAGAGGCACTTCCAGGGCTAAAGTTGTACTGCGACCAAGCACAATCTAGCCAGGACGCCAAACGAGGCATTTCCAGTAATAAAGTTGTACTACAACCAAGCACAATCCAGCCAGGACGCCAAACGAGGCATTTCCAGTACTAAAGTTATACTACAACCAAGCACAATCCAGCCAGGACGCCAAACGAGGCATTTCCAGTACCAAAGTTGTGCTACAACCAAGCACAATCCAGCCAGGACGCCAAACATTTCCAGTACTGAAGTTGTACTACAACCAAGCACAATCCAGCCAGGACGCCAAACGAGGCATTTCCAGTACTAAAGTTGTAATACAACCAAGCACAATCCAGCCAGGACGCCAAACGATGCATTTCCAGTACTAAAGTTGTACTACAACCAAGCGCAATCCAGCCAGGACGCCAAACGAGGCATTTCCACTAGTATAGTTGTACTACAACCAAGCACAATCCAGCAGGACGCCAAACGAGGCATTTCCAGTACAAAAGCTGCACTACATACAACCAAGCACAATCCAGCCAGGACGCCAAACGAGACACTTCCAGTATCAAAGTTGTGCTACAACCAAGCACAATCCAGCCAGGACGCCAAACGAGGCATTTCCAGCACTAAAGTTGTACTACAACCACGCACAGTCCAGCCAGGACGCCAAACGAGGCAATTCCAGTACTAAAGTTGTACTACAACCAAGCGCAATCCAGCCAGGACGCCAAACGAGGCATTTCCACTACTAAAGTTGTACTACAACCACGCACAATCCAGCCAGGACGCCAAACGAGGCATTTCCAGTACTAAAGTTGTATTAGAACCTAGCACAATCCAGCCAGGACGCCAAACGAGGCATTTCCAGCACTAAAGTTGTACTACAACCAAGCGCAATCCAGCCAGGACGCCAAACGAGGCATTTCCACTACTAAAGTTGTACTACAACCAAGCAAAATCCAGCCAGGACGCCAAACGACGTATTTCCAGTACCAAATTTTCGTACTAAAAGGACTTTTGCAAGCAACCCGTATCACCAACTACACCGCGGAACGTTACGACCCAGCGTTTTTTCGCTTCTGCGAAGGTCTGCCCTGATCTGCTGACATGCGTTACGACTTCGGTAGTTCCCTGTCGCATAACTGCAGTGAATATCAGTAAAACCAGTGCAGTTAGCATATTCGTGCCTCCTAAAACCGACGAAATGACCTGATATGACACATATACTGTATGATAAGAATCGAGCTGCAGTAAACACTTACTGTACTTGGTTTAGGGTTCACTGTAGGGCTTACTGTACAGTACTGTTGGGGTTTCTGCTAGCTTTCTCCTCTTCGAACAGTGAGCAGTGAAAGCACATGCTGGCTTTCTCTTCTTTGATCAGTACAGTACTGCACAACACGGTTCTGTACTGTACCGCACTGTAGTGTGCTCTACAATACAATACTGTACAGCACGCTCCCCATTTGCCCTCGCCCCTGTCACTCTCAAAGTCGTGTTCATGGCAGCGTGCAGCAGGAACCCATCCCACCCAGTGGCACAGCAATGCAATTACGAGGCATGGAAACACGGAAGGAACCATTCGAAGGCGGCTGGCCCGGAATATATGCTATCTGCGGCTCTCTGCAGGGTTTGGACAACAGAAATTATACAAGAAGGGTTGCCATCCACTTTGCCCGTTGGGCTTCCTGTACAGTAAGAGAAGTCGTAACATTTGCTGTTTCCCCCAAGTAACCGCGCCTGACACAAAACATGGTTTCCACACACCGCCTCTGAAACTTTCTACCGAACCGTGGGCTTGCAAGCGACAAGAGGCACGTCCAGTACTAAAGTTGTAGTGCAACCAAGCACAATCTAGCCAGGACGCCAAACGAGGCATTTCCAGTACTAAAGTTGTACTACAACCAAGCGCAATCCAGCCAGGACGCCAAACGAGGCATTTCCACTACTATAGTTGTACTACAACCAAGCACAATCCAGCAGGACGCCAAACGAGGCATTTCCAGTACCAAAGTTATACTACAACCAAGCACAATCCAGCCAGGACGCCAAACGAGTCATTTCCAGCACTAAAGTTGTACTACAACCACGCACAATCCAGCCAGGACGCCTAACGAGGCAATTCCAGTACTCAAGTTGTATTACAACCACGCACAATCCAGCCAGGACGCCAAACGAGGCATTTCCAGTACTAAAGTTGTATTACAACCATGCACAATCCAGCCAGGACGCCAAACGAGGCACTTCCAGTATCAAAGTTGTGCTACAACCAAGCACAATCCAGCCAGGACGCCAAACGAGGCATTTCCAGCACTAAAGTCACTAAAGTTGTACTACAACCACGCACAATCCAGCCAGGACGCCGAACGAGGCAATTCCAGTACCAAAGTTGTACTACAACCAAGCGCAATCCAGCCAGGACGCCAAACGAAGCATTTCCAGTACTAAAGTTGTACTACAACCAAGCGCAATCCAGCCAGGACGCCAAACGAGGCATTTCCACTAGTATAGTTGTACTACAACCAAGCACAATCCAGCAGGACGCCAAACGAGGCATTTCCAGTACAAAAGCTGCACTACATACAACCAAGCACAATCCAGCCAGGACGCCAAACCAGGCATTTCCAGTACTAAAGTTCAAGCACAATCCAGCCAGGACGCCAAACGAGGCATTCCCAGTACTAAAGTTGTACTACAACCAAGCACAGTCCAGCCAAGACGCGAGACGACGCATTTTCAGTACCAAAGTTGTACTACAACCAAGCACAATCCAGCCAGGACGCCAAACGAGGCATTTCCAGTACTGAAGTTGTACTACAGCCAAGCACAATCCTTCAGGACGCCAAACGAGGCATTTCCAGTACCAAAGTTGTGCTACAACCAAGATCAACCAAGCACAATCCAGCCAGGACGCCAAACGAGGCATTTCCAGCACTAAAGTTGTACCCAAACGAGGCATTTCCAGCACTAAAGTTGTACTACAACCAAGCACAATCCAGCCAGGACGCCGCACGAGGCATTTCCAGTACCAAAGCTGTACTACAACCATGCACAATCCAGCCAGGACGCCTAACGAGGCAATTCCAGTACTCAAGTTGTATTACAACCAGGCACAATCCAGCCAGGACGCCAAACGAGGCATTTCCAGTACTAAAGTTGTATTACAACCATGCACAATCCAGCCAGGACGCCAAACGAGGCATTTCCACTAGTATAGTTGTACTACAACCAAGCACAATCCAGCCAAGACGCCAAACGAGGCATTTCCACTACCAAAGTTGTACTACAACCAAGCACAATCCAGCAGGCATTTCCAGTACCAAAGCTGCACTACATACAACCAAGCAATCCAGCCAGGACGCCAAACGAGGCATTTCCAGTAATAAAGTTGTATTAGAACCAAGCACAATCCAGCCAGGACGCCAAACGAGGCATTTCCAGCACTAAAGTTGTACTACAACCAAGCGCAATCCAGCCAGGACGCCAAACGAGGCATTTCCACTACTAAAGTTGTACTACAACCAAGCACAATCCAGCCAGGACGCCGAACGACGTATTTCCAGTACCAAATTTTCGTACTAAAGGACTTTTGCAAGCAACCCGTATCACCAACTACACCGCGGAATGTTACGACCCAGCGTTTTCGCTTCCGCGAAGGTCTGCCCTGATCTGCTGACATGCGTTACGACTTCGGTAGTTCCCTGTCGCATAACTGCAGTGAATATCAATAAAACAAATGCAGTTAGCATATTCGTGCCTCCACAAACCGACGAAATTACATGACATGACACATATACTGTATGACATGATATGACATACAAAGACAGTACACTACTGCAAACAAAACTATTACTGTAATCCATTTTGTGTTTGATGTTTATGGACATTCAATTTTTCAAAGCAACTTCCACATTTTTTACTGTACAGTACAGTAACATCGATAAGAATCACACTGCAGTAAACACCTACTTTACTTCGTTTAGGGTTCACTGTACTGTAGGGCTTACTGTGCAGCACCGTAGGTTCGAAGGCAGTTGGTGGTTGGCCTGGAATATATGCTATCTGCAGTTCTTTGCAGGTTTGGACAACAGAAATTATACAAGAAACGTTGAAAGCTTTTCTGCTGCCACTACTGTCCTGCACAGGGCATCCAATACACCTTGTTAAACGGTTCTGGGGGGGGGGCTCAGCTACACCTGTCTAAAGGGGTAGGCGGTTGGGGTTGGTCTGGAATATATATGCTATCTGCAGTTCTTTGCAGGTTTGGACAACAGAAATTATACAAGAGGCGTTGAGGTTTTTCTGCTGCCTCTACTGTACAGGGGTCCTGGGGGCATCCAATACACCTTCATTTCGTCGCCTGCACAAAGATGGTAGGACGATACACCTGCCTATGTACTGTAAAGAGGTTTCGGGGCATCCGATACACAATGTTAAAGGTTGTAGTACAGTACAGTACTGTACTATTGTACCATACGCTACAGTACAGTGCAGTAGCCCTTTACCCTCTGCTGTTTCACTCTCCTCTTCTGCCCCCCTCATCTCCAACACAAACACAGGCGCAAGTTCCATCAACTCGTCTGAATTTGCACCCGCTCATGCAAAACCTCCGGAATTACCAGAACTTCCTCCGACTCATGCCCTCCTACTCAAAATAAAGCCCACATTCCTGGCAAGAACCATATGCTAACTGCGGTTCGGATATGCCCATACTGTACAGTACTGTACAGTTGCACAACACAAGCAGAGGCGCAAGTTCCATCAACTCTTCTGAAGTTGTCCCCCGCTCATGCAAAACCTCCCAGAATTACCAGAACTTCCTCCGACTCACGCCCTCCCACCACCAAAAAAAGCTCACATTCCTGGCATGGACCATATGCTAACTGCGGTGCGGGATATGCTAACTGCGGTTGTTGGGACCCGGGAAAACTCATATGCTAACTGCGTTGTTTTTGGCCCGGGATGAAATTAGACAAATGACCCGGGATCCCGGGTCATTTGTCTAATTGTCTAATTGTCCCCGGGTCCATATGCTAACTGGTGTTCCGGGAGTGTAATGCCATCGGCACATATGTCATGAAGTTCAGTGGGCATGCGGGGTCATTCCCCATTTTGCATTTCTTGTCGAACTTCAGCAAAGTGCATTCCTCCAGCATGCTCCTGGGCGAGGACATGATGACACAGATTGCAACCATGGACTTCAAGTCATCCACGAACATGTATCCAATGACCAGAGCCGCCATCTGGTTGACCTTGTTGACATGCCCGAAGAATCATGAGAGGGATGGTTTTGCTCGGAACCTCATTCGCTCAGACATTGAGCGATTGAGGCAGGCAGCATGCCTGCCCATGACAACCAAAGCGGAGCAAATGCTCCAGGATGCATGGGGCATCCATCAAAGCATCCATGCAGGCCAAGGCAAGCACATTGACGGCCATCACGTGGACAATTGCTTTGGCCGCCTGTGCATAAGGACCATCTTGCATTTATGCAACAAGGCGAAGACTGGCAGCAGGGAGTGCAAGGAGTTTGCATCTTTGGAGGCCATTGTCGAGGCATTCTCGACAGAGCTCTACAAGGATTCCCCTGCATCGGGTGCAGAGGCATCGAAGAGCGATGAGAAGCCCATGGTGGACGTTCTGTCGGCGAAGCCGCATGTTGTGGCATTGCTGCAGAATGCCCACATGACCATGGGCGGCAGGCCACTCGATGGGTTTTGATTGCTTTCATTTGTTATACATTTTTGTTGCTTGTTCATGGTTGTGCTTTGAGGTACACGAACAGCAAAGAACATGGCTCCATGGTTTTCATCCTCCAGAGTGTCAGTGACGATGGGGCATGCATGCGGCACACCCCATTCTTCGGCGACAGCATCGACATCAGTGTCCCACTGGAGTCATTGAAGAAGTGGAGGAGCACTAAAACACCCATGCCGAAGCTTTGTGATGTTACCATGGTGACGACGTGCATGCCCAATGTTCATCCCGCCTTTGTTGAGGAACATCAGCGGGCCATGGTGACAGTGGCATTGCATGCTGTGCACAAGAAGCATTCGTCGACCAGTTCCCTTGCATTCGGGCAGTTCCCCCCCAGCTTGATGACCATGGTCACATGCAAGAAGAAAGCAGGCATCAAGCTGACACCCATGGGCAACATTTCCAAGCATAAAGCAGAAGGAGCTCCAAAGGGCACAGCCTTGGAGGCATTTGGGTCTCATTGGGTTGTTTCCCCACCGAAGCAGAACACATTGTTCGAGGATGAGAAGCATCCGTTGGTGCCATACTTTTGGGTGAGAGCATGTGCATCGGATGCCCAGCCGAACATGTCATTTTCCACCATCGTGCAGGATGGGGTCACGGTGCCCATGCTCTACAACGAGGAGCCCATCGAGAAGCATGAAGTGTTGCTCCACCCACGCATGGAGGAGACCATGCAGGAGCCGCCCAAGAAGAAGGCCAAGGCAAAGGCCAAGGCCAATTGATTCATGCCATGAAGCATTTGCATCCATCGATTTCATGCAGAGAATGCAAAAAATATAAAAGAAACTTTTTTTTTGGTGGCGGTTTCTGTTTCAAATATTTTTTTGGGCAGGGTTGTTCCAGGGTATATATTGGGTTGGGGTTTAGAGTCTTCGGGTCTAGATTTTCGGGTAAGGGCTTATGGGGTTTATGGGGTGTGCGGATTATCTATATATGGGTAAGAGGGGTGCTTTCTAGGTTACTTCAAGGGTCAGTGTTTTGGGGTTCGTGGGCTTCGGGTGAAGGTTTAAGGATTTTTTTTAGGCTGTAGTGCATTTTCGGGATAGGCTTGTAAATATGTTTCTAAATATGGTGTGTATAGATAGAAAAGACCATGTGCATCCAGGGGGGGGGGGGGCGGGTCGGCGAATAAAAGGGCTCGAAGTCAAGACAGAATCGAAGAACATTCAGTATATAGAACATATATTGTATGTATGAGTTAATAAATGTATGTTTCTAAATTGCCACATTGTGGCTGTTGCATGCTCCTGGCCATAGATATGGCAGTCATGCAGGATGCCATGTAGTGGCCATGTTATCTTCTTGAAAAGCCAAATACATGGCTATGGCCATATTATGGCAGTTTCTCTGCACATTGCCAATTTATGGCTGTTCTATACATGCACATGGCCATGATGGCTGTTCCATGCACATGGCCATTAAATGGCTGTTCGCCATTGTGGCTGTTCCATGCTATCCCATGCACATGGCCGTGTTGTGGCCGTTCCTGGTTCCATGCACGCAGTTCTGACTGACAGTTACATGTTCTACATGTTGCAGGGGAATGCACATCTTCAGCTGAGTTTTGCGAGTGGCCATTGCAAGCCAAGCCATTAGCTATATATAGCCATCGATCCCATCCCGAAGCCATGCACCATCCATGTGTGAGCAACGGTTGCCATCGCCGGTGCAGTGTTGCCCACAGGCATTGTTGCAGCTTGTGTCCATTCGGGCATAAGACAAGCTGCGACAGACGGCAAGCCCTGGTGCCGCATGGGCAGGCATCATCCGACACATCGGTGCCGACACCGCCAACCATGCCGCCACCATCTTCGAGCAGCCATCCGCCGCCATCGGCAACCATGCCGCCACCATCTTCGAGCAGCCATCCACCGCCATCTCAGAGCACATCGCCTCCGGAACACATGCCGGTGGCATGGTTGCCATGGCGGCATGAGGGAAACGAACGGCTCCGTAGCTTCATGGTCCATGCATTGCAGACAAAAGAGAACATCGGATCCATGTACGGCCGCATGCAATCATTGGATGAGATTGGAGGCATCTGGCGCCATTGGTTGGACAAGCAGTTCATAGCGGTCCATCCCGACTTGGGCAACATTCCGGGCAACGATGACATCAGAGCTTTCATAGCCATGCTCAATAGAAGCATGTGATGTGTATAGAACAGCATTTGTGCCATGTGCTTTCGGTGAAAAAGAAGGTCGCTTGGTGGGAAGAAGCAGCATGTGAGTTACAGTTTCTGTGCATGAGTACCCAAATTTGCATATGTATTGCATGGAAAGGGATATTTATCATGTGGCTTCTATATCACCAACCTCACATACCCATTTGCATCTTCAGAAACCAACTATAGATCCTTGCACATGGCCTTTTGGTGGCTGTTGCATGCACATATAGCAGAGCCCACTTATCATGAGGGTTGTGTTGTACATACATGTTGCTGTATCTAGAGTGCATGCAGCTGCCATTACAAGTACAGGCATCCCATCCCATAGCACATCCAGCCGACTGTGGCAATATGATCCCAATGTGGCTCGCCAACATCGAGCGAAGCCCTCATTTGCAGCCTCCACGGGCGACCATGACACCAGGTCTGCAACCCTCACCGGGTTTGCCATCCCCATCGGGCGAAGCATCATCGGCAGCTGGACCATCGGGCGAAGCCTCATCGGCATTACCATCGGGCGAAGCATCATCGGCATCAGCATTGGGCCGGGCAGCATCGGCACCCATGCGGGGGGTCGTGGTGGTGCCAACATTACCTTTGTCATGGCGAGCCCATTACAATTCGGGCAGTCATCGAACCAGGACATTCATCATCCATTGCCATGAGACCATGGGCGAAATGAGCCGTCCAAAATTCAGGACATGGCTCCGCATGCAGCTGATGGCTGTGCATCCACAAGTCGCAGACCATGGCAATTCGCCCAGCATCATCAGTGCCAGACAGATGAGGGCATTCATCGGCATGGTCCTTCGCGAGATGGGAGTGCACTAGTCATGGCAGTGGCGGGTGTGAAAAACAGGCAGCATCGGCGCTTTATAGGGTTTTTTTCAAGGGGTTGGGGGGGTGTGGGGGTTTGGGGGGTTGGTATATATAGGGTGGGTGGTTTCTCTGCTATATGTATATTAAGGGATTGCAATATTGGGTTAAAGCTGTTATGTGTAGATATGTGTGTATATATATAGACATATATATATATATATATTATTATTATTATTATGTATATACATATATAGATATATACATAGCTACACACACATATTAGTCAGTACATGTGTCCTCATGCAAATTGAGTTATAGATTCCTTTTAGGCACAGCATTTTGTGCATGCATATATATATATATACACACACATGTAGTACTCGGAAGCCTTGTGGCCATCCCATATAAAGAAGCCATTTGGCCGAAAGCCCCCAACACATCCACAACAATTCCGAAAGCCTTCTGGCTATCCCATATATATAGAAGCCATTTGGCCGGAAGCCCCGAACACATCGACAAGAAAACCTTAAAGCCTTCTGGCCATCCCATATACATAGCCATTTGGCCGAGAGCCCCCAACACATCCACAAGACAACCGAAAGCCTTGTGGCCATCCCATATAAAGAGAAGCCAAGCCCCTACAGAAAACATGTTTTGTTGGTGTGCCTGGTGGCCATCTGTCGCAGTTTTGGAGCAGGACAGTCATGCGCACCTATGTTCTGCATGGGCAGCCCTTTTGGCCATCAAGCCTTTTGCTGCAGCATCCCGCCTTCCATCCTCATCTTGTCTGCATCATGGACAACATGCCGGCCATCATTGAGGCCGGAGAAGACTGAAAACATAAAAGCAAACATTCAAATACCGAAACACTTGCCCTGCAGGAGACACAGGCCATCGCGGCCATGGAGGCGGATTGGAACATGACGGACATGACAGAGGCTTTTTCATATAGTTTTAAAAACCATATAAACCCTAAAGCTTTAAACCCTATAAACCCTATATAGAAACCCTAAAGCAGAAACCCTAAACATATATAGAAATACAGGTATATACATATATATATATATATGTATGTATGTATATATTTAGTGTATATATATATAGTGTATATATACATATATATATATATATACATTTCATTATGTATTTACATGAATATACATGCATATACACATACTTATATCTATGTATATATAATATATATATATATATATATATATCAACATATTAATGTATATATGGTTATATATATATATAAACCCCTGACAGGGGACCATGGAGCCGAACCCCACGACGGAGGAGCATGCCCCGCCATCCGAGAACCATGCCCCGGCATCCGAGAACCATGGCCAGACCATTGGGACGGCGGAGAATGGGCAGGCCATGACAACCGAGCCCCATCAGGCTCATGGAGAAGATCATGCCAATCATGGCCATGGGAGTGTTTTGGCGCTTTTTTATGAAACCATCGAAAACATTAAAAAAAAAACCCTTTTAAACCCATAGTGTATAAATAAATAAATCAATATAATATATATATATATATGTATATATATATATATGTATATACATATACATATATACATATATACATATATGTATATATGTATATATGTATATATGTATATATGTATATATGTATATATGTATATAAGTATATATGTATATATGTATAGATGTATATGTATATGTATATGTATATGTATATGTATATGTATATGTATATGTATATGTATATGTATATGTATATGTATATGTATATGTATATGTATATGATATGTGTATGATATGTATATGTATATGTATATGTATATGTATATGTATATGTATATGTATATGTATATGATATGTGTATGATATGTATATGTATATGTATATGTATATGTATATGTATATGTATATGTATATGTATATGTATATGTATATGTATATGTATATGTACATGTATATGTATGTATGTATGTATATACATATATACCTACATACATAAATTATATATATATATAACATATATACATATGTCCATACATATATATATATATCTATGTATATATATATATATATATTATATATATATATATATATATATAATTATATCTATATATATATATATAGACATAAACATATATACATACGTCCATACATATATATATATATACATATACATACATGTGCATCCCAGGTTCTTGGGGCCCATCCAGTGGCCTATTGAACGATCCAAATGGCGCCATCCCTTGGAGCATCCAGGCTATGATGCCAAGCCCATTGCATCAATGCAGCATCAGCTGCATGTTATGCGATAACAGCTGGCTTTACCTGTATCGCCTGCAGGAAATCAAAACCTGCTGCAATTGTGGCACTCCATGGGCACAGAGCCTGGTGCATGCCGGCTTAGACATGCGAAACCCATCCGGGGTGGTGCCGCAGCATCCATGAGTGGTCAAAGACCACATGATTGTGCCATAAGCATCATCATCCTCCATGCCACCGTCGCCTGGCATTCATGTCGTGATGAGCAGCAGCAGCACCAGCAACACCATCGACGGCATCAGCAAGAGAAACAGCATGCGAAGCCTGATGGCCATTTTGTTGGCATTGGAGGATGCAATTTCAATAAGAGCACATCTTCGGCAGTGCAAGGCGAGAAAAAGTGAGTGTGAGTCTGCATCTACATAATAGGACATCACAAATCCCAAGACCCAACCCATGAACCCGAAATTCTGGATTGCCACCCTA